CATCCCTGTGCACTGGATGCCCAAAAATCAGGAGTGTGGGGCTGAAGTGCACCAAAAACATTAAAAAAAGGCTTTTCAGGTAACTGAAAAAGGGATTGAAAATGCCCATAATCAATATATACATGGTCCACAAACTCCACAGCGCCTCAGTTGGATTGGAAGTCCATGAACCGCCACAATCTGTGGTTGTAAGGGACTGCTGCATGCAACACCTTTCATCCCAAGTCCCTGAGGGAAAGAGGGAGGACTCCCACATAGACAGCCCTCCACTGGGCATCTCCATCACCCGGTTTCTACTATCTCCTCTAGCTGCAAATTCCAGCCACTTACCACCTTTTGTGTGTAAAAACATTACCTTTCACATCTCCTCTAAACTTTCCACCTACATATCTTAAACTTATGTCCCCTCATAATTGGCATTTCTACCCTCGGAAAAAAAGATTCCATCTATCCATGCCTGTCACAATTCTGTAAACATCTATCAGGTCACCCCTCAGCCTCAACATTCAAGTCAAAACAATGATTTTTTTAAAATGTCCACCACCATTCATGACGGGAGTTTGCAGGACTGCAGAGCTTATGTCTGATCCATAGGTTGTGGAATCACTTAGCCCTGTATATCCATTGCTTCTTATGCTTTCTGGCAGGCAAGCATTTCTGTGTTGTAGCTTCACCAGGTTGGCACCTTACTTTTAGATATACCTAGTGAATGCCCTCCTGCACTCTTCATTTAGCCAGGTTTGATCCCCGGTTCTATGTTATATCATTTGCATTCATCTGCTGTCCCTGCCCTTCTATTTGTTAGATGTCATGTGTTTGGATGGACTTCCTTTAGAGTCTTGGTGACTTTGTGCAGTGCATCTTGTAGCTGGTCCAATCTGCTGCTCCTTTGCATCGGTACTGTGGGGAGTGAATATTTGTGGATGAGGTGCCAATCAAGCGGGCTGCTTTGCCCTGCATGGTGTCAAGGCTCTTGTGTGTTGTTTGAGCTGCACTCATCCAGACAAGTAAAGTATTTCATTACACAGATGGTGAACAGGCTTTTGGGAAGTCAGGAAGTGAAGTTCCTCATCTCCTTTTGCAGCCACACCATTTATATGGTGAGTCCAGTTCAGTTTCTTTTCAATAGTAACCCACAGGATGTTGTTACTGTCGGTATTTAGAGATGATAATGCCATTGAATGTCAAGGAGCGATGATTAGATTCTACCTTCTTGCTGATGGCTCTTGACTGGCACTTGTGCAGTTACTTGTCACCCAAGAGACCAAGCCTGGTGTTGTCCAGGTCTTGTTGCACTTGACCTGGACTGTTTCAGTACCTGAGGAGTTGTGAATGGTGCTGAACATTGTGCAGTCATTAGTGAACATTTCGACTTCTGACCTTATGTCGGAGGGAAGTTCATTGATGAAACAGCTGAAGATGGTTTGACCTAGAACACTACCCTGAGAAACTCCTGCAGGTATGTCCTGGAGCTGAGATTACTGACACTAACAACAACAGCCATCTTCCTTCTCGCTAGATATTACTGCAACCTGCATTGAGTTTTCTCTGGATTCTCGTCGACTGTAGTTTTATTTGGGCTCCTAATGTCACACTTGGTCAAAGGGTGCCTTGATGTTTAGGAAAGTTACTCTCACTTCTCCTCGGGAGTTGAACTTCATTGAACCAAGGCTGTAATCGGCTGAGTGGCAGGACCTGCCAGAACTCAAACTGGGCAGGTTATTGCTGACCAGGTATTGCTTTATACCACTGTTGATGCCACCTTCCTTCACATTTTCATATTAGAGAATAGACAGATGAGTCGTTACTTGACCACATTTTGGGTACATGCCAGCACTGTAGCTGTACTGGAACATCTTTACAAGGCATATGACAATTTTTAGAGACTGATGTTGTCAGGACCCACAAACTTTGCAGTATCCAGTGTGTCCGGTCATTCCATAATGTCAAGTGGAGTGAATTGAATTGTTTGGAGACTGTTATCTGTGAATGTTGGAACCCGAGGAAGAGGCTGAAATGGATCAACTCCCCAGTATTTTTGGTTGAAGATTGTTGCAAATACTTCAGCCTTCTCTTGGGCACTGATGTGCTGGGCTTCCCTATAACTGAGGATTTAGTTGTTGGAGAACAGCCTCCTCATCCATGGTTTGTTTAATTGTCCACCATCTTTTGTGACTAAATGTGGCAAGGCTGCAGAGCTCAGATCTGATGCAAAATCAGAAATTACTGGTGAAACACAGCTGGTCTGACAGCATCACTGGGGAGAAAGCAGAGTCTTGTTGGTTAAGTAATCACTTAGTTCGGTCCATCACTTGTTGCGAACATAAGTAGTCCTCTTTTGTAGCTTCACGAGATTGTCTCCTCATATGCTGTATTCAGTACTGCTCTTTGCTTGCCCTTTTGCACTCTTCATTGAACAAGGGTTGAACCCGTGGCTTGATGGTAATGGTAGACTGGGAGAGATAGAGTCAGAGAGTCATACAGAGAGTCATGGAAACAGACCCTTCAGTCCACCTTGTCTGCCCCAACCAGCCATTCAGTCTGACCTAGTCCCATTTGCCAGCATATCGCCCAAATCCCTCTGAATCCTTCCATTTCATGTAACCATCCAGATGCTTTTTAAATGTTGTCATTGTACCAGCCTCCACCATTTGCTTTGGCAGCTCATTCCCTGCACACACCACCCTCTGTTTGAAAAAGTTGCCCCTCAGCCCCCTTCTGTATCTTTCCCCTCTCACCTTAAACCTATGCCCTCTAGTTTTGGACTCCCCCAGTTTAGGAAAAAGACCTTGGCTTTCACCTTATCCATGCCCCTCATGATTTTAAAAACCTCTATAGTGTCACGCCTCAGTCTCCGACACTCGAGGGAGAAAAAGCCCCAGCCTATCCCTATAACTCAAACCCACCTGTCAGATATGTCGGGCAGATTGTCTGTGAGCCGTGCTAAGAACAATTTTGCTGCAGCTGATAGCCCACTGAACCTCATGGACACCTCGTTCCGAGTTGCTAGATCTGTTTGAAGTTTGACCCATTTAGCACAGAGATAGTGTCACGCAACATGTTGGAGTATCTATAAAACGTGCAGCAGGCAGATTGGTGACAGTGCGGTCAATGATGTTTTTGCCCCTCACTCCCTGCTGCAGCCCCAGTCCAGCAGCTGTGTCCTTTTGGACTGTCCCAGCTCAGTCAGCAGGTGGTGCTGCTGAGTCTCTCTTGGTGATGAACACTGAAGCCTCTCACACAGGGCACATTCTCTGTCCTCTCTACCTTCAATGTTGTGTTCAAATAGAGAAATTCAAGGGATGTGGTAATTGATAACCAGCAGAATGTTTCCATTGTTTAACCTGATGCTTCCTGGGGTCCAGCATCAATGTTGAGTACTTCCGGGGCACACCCCCGCCTCTTGACGGTATCCCACGGAGCTGGCCTGCCAGTGGGACAGGACCTGCCCTGAGATGATCATAGTGTTGTCTGGAACATTGTCTGAAAAGAGGGATTCTATGAGCGTGACTATGTTCGATTGTTGCTGGATTGGTCTGTGCTAAAGAGACTACCGGCCAGCTTTAAGTTTTAACGCCTCTTTATTTCTTTGAAATTAATCCAAACCAAATTGTTTTTCTCAGTTGAAGATTAGTTAAATATTGGTCACTTCAACAATCAGTGTACACACCTAATTGTTGCTCAATTTTGTAACTATAGTAACCAGCTAATTATTGCTCAATTCAATAACTGCAGAAAACAGCTGATTCTTGTTCAGATGTGTAAACCTTTGCACTACCATGTACATCAGAAAACTAACAAATAGGCCAGAATCCAAATATAGTCTTGCTAGAGCACACTGCCACCTTCAGTAAAGAGTGACTGGCTCCTAAATCTGTCCAGTTAGCTTCCAAACTGGATCTGGGCAGTTATTCAAACATTTCCTCTGAACAAACAACTTAGAGATGTGCATGAACAAGGGGGAAGTGGTACCTGCAGGATAGGCAGGTAAGGTGTTTAAGAAGGGTCAAAGCCATTGAATACATGAGTAGGGAGGTCATGTTGGAGCTGCACAGGACTTTACTGGGGCCATACTGGAGTACTGCGTGCTGTTATGGTCATCGCATTATAGGAAGGATGTGATTGCTCTGGAGGGGGTGCAGAGGAGATTCACCAGGACATTGCCTGGGATAGAGCATTGCTCAATTCTGCTCTGCATATGTGTGTAGCTAATCCACCTAGCCTGCCTACCACTGGGCACTATGTGCAATTAAACACAGCCAAGCCAACTAATTTTCTTTGGACGGAAACCGGAGCACCTGAAGGAAACCCATGCAGACGCAGGAAGAACGTGCAAACTCCACACGCAGTTGCTGGAGCCCGAGGGTGGAATCGAACCCAGGCTCTTAGTGCTGAGAGGCAGCGGTGCTAACCACCGAGCCACTGTGCTGCCCGAGGCTAGGGGATTTATTTTTTTTTGTTTCGATTATATCAACTTGCTGCGCTCAGATTCGTTGCTGCATTATGAAAGGTCAAGTCACCACAGTTCCAATTTCTCAGCAGAGAGAGAGGTGACTAATGGTGAGTTTGATTTTAATTTGATTTTTTTTATTGCTGCGTTTTTTAAAAAAAAAAAATTCATGGGATGAGGGCGTCTCTGACCAAACCAGTATTTATTGGCCATCTATAATTGCCCAAGGGCCGTTAAGTGGCAACCACATTGCTGTGGGTCTGGAAGGCAGCTTCCTTGAAGGGCAGAGATAACAAGGTGTAGAGTTGGCTGAACACAGCAGGCCAAGCAGCATCATAGGATCTAGGATCTAGGGTCTAGGCCCGAAACGTCAGCTTTCCTGCTCCTATGATGCTGCTTGGCCTGCTGTGTTCATCCAGCTTTACACCTTGTTATCTCAGATTTTCCAGCATCTGCAGTTCCTACTATCTCTTCCTTTCAAGGGCATCTTGTCACAGGCTGGGGCGTGGTTTATTGGGTGGGTCTGTGTGCTCTCTGGTTGTAGGTTCACGGATCCAGACTATATTCCTGCGCAGTTCCTCATTCTACTTTCCCCGGCAACACTATTCCGGGAACGGTCGGAGCAAAGCAGAAACCGGGCAGGCAGGCAGGCAGGCAACAGTGAGGGGAGCCCGGTCTCCGAGCAAGAAACGACGGAACATTCGCCGGTTTTCAGAGCGGAGAGTAGAGAGGCGTGAGGGATTACGCAGGGAGAGTAGAGAGGGCTGAGGGGTTACAGGGGGTGAGTTGGATCAGGAGAGATATTAGAGTAGGAGCGGGAACTCCAGAGGGAGTGAAAGTCTGAAGAAGCTCTCGAGTGTCGGGGAGAACGGAAGATACGAATCGAACGGGGAGAAGGGATTGGCTGGAGCGATCTATCCAGCAAATTGCAGCCTTCTTTCCCCATGACCTTTGGAGGGGTGGGTGGTGAGAGAGTGCGTCTATTCTGTATTTGACTATTCCCTAAAGGTCGGGCACACAGCCCTCCGGAAACTGCCATGCCCAAGCTGAGCCGGTGTTGTACCCGCCGGTTGAGCCTCAGGTCAGCGCTGTGCACGCTTGGCGTAATCTTGTGCCTCTGGTTCCTGGCCCTGAGTGAAAAGGTCTGGCTGTCCCTCGGGCTGGTGAAGCCAGGCGCTGGTGCAATGCAGGGGCACTTCCTCCTTGTCGAGGAGAACTCCACCTGCTGGCAGATCATCCAAGGGGACAGGCAGGAGGTGGAAAAGGCCCTCCTCAATTCCATTACCGTCTCCCTCAAGCGCCAAGCCGTTACTGAAGGTGATTATCTGGACATGACCCGAAATTGCAATTCCTTTGTGAGGGCCCGCAAGTATATCACTGTCCCCCTCAGCCCTGAGGAAGAAAACTTCCCCTTGGCTTACTCCCTGGTCATCCACAATAGCATTGAGATGTTCGAGAGGCTTTTACGAAGCATTTACGCCCCACAGAATGTCTACTGCATCCACGTGGACCGCAAGTCCCCGAATCAATTTCATGCGGCCGTCCGGGCCATCGCTTCGTGTTTCCACAACGTCTTTGTCGCAGCCAAGCTAGAGTCGGTCACCTATGCTGCCTGGTCCAGAGTTCAGGCAGATCTCAACTGCATGGAGGAGCTATTGGAGAGCCCTGTCCCCTGGAGATACTTCATCAACGTGTGTGGCCAAGACCTCCCCCTGAAGACCAACCGGGAGATAGCTTTGAGGCTGCGAGCTATGAACGGCTCCAACGTGATTGAGTCGGACCCCCCGCCACGGTACAAAAAGGTAAACGCCTTCCCGTCTGCTGGTCCTCTCTTTATCCAAGTGTTTTCTCTCCCTCCATTTCTCTTTTCCCTCCAGTTATTCAGCCCTTTGTGTGCAAAGAGAGGTTGGCTTAGACCGTAAGACCATAAGATACAGGAGTAGAAATTAGGCCATTCGGCCAATCGAGTCTGCTCCACCATTCAATCATGGTTGATAAGTTCCTCAACCCCATTCTCCTGCTTCCTCACCGTAACCCTTGATCCCCTTGATAATCAAGAACCTACCTATCTCAGTCTTAAATATTCTCAATGACTTGGCCTCCACAGCCTTCTGTGGCAGTGAATTCCGTAGATTCAGCACTCTCTGGCTGAAGGCTTATTAAAAGTGTTCAAAGGGATGTAGTAGGTTAAAAATGTACAAAGGGATATAGACTGATTACAAGAGTACAAAGGAATGTATGTGGTTAGGAGTGTACAAAGGAATGTAGGTTCAGTTAAGAGCATGTAAAGGGTTGTCATTAGGTTGACCGTGAAATAACTCCTCAGACACCAGCATCCCACCACCAACCAACCTTTATTTACACATGGAGAGTCCTTGACACTAATTCAGCTACTTCTGAGCCAGCTCTCAAAGTGAACAGAACCTCTGACAGTTTTATTTGTATAGAGGGAACTTGTGCACAGAGTCAGAGGAGGTAGGGGAGGTCCTTAATGAATACTTTGCCTCAGTAATCACCAGTGAGAGGGTCCTTGATGTTTGTGAGGACAGCATGAAACAGGTGGATATGCGATAACCCTAACCCTAACCCTATGCTCGAACAGGTTGATGTGAGGAAGGAGGATGTGCTAGAAATTTTGAAAAACATGAGGATAGATATGTCCCCTGTTCCAGATGGGATATACCCAAGGTTACTACAGGAAGTGAGGAAGAGATTGCTGCCCCTTTGGCAATGATCTTTGCATCCTCACTGTCCACTGGAGTAGTACCAGAAGGTTGGAAGGTGGCAAATGTCATTCCCTTGTTCAAGAAAGGGAATAGGGATAATCCTGGAAATTACAGACCGGTCAGTCTGTCTTCTGTGCTGGTCAAATTATTGGAGAGGATCTGAGAGATAGTACTTGATTATTTGGAAAAGCATAGTTTGGTTAGAAATAGTCAGCATGGCTTTGTGAGAGGCAGATCATGCTTCACAAGCCTTATTGAATTCTTTGAGTATGTGACAAAACACATCGATGAAGGTTGAGCAGTGGATGTGATGTAAATGGATTTTAGCAAGGCATTTGGTAAGGTTCCTCATGGAAGGCTCATTCAGGAAGTAAGGAGGCATGGAATTCAGGAAATTTGGCTGTCTGGATACAAAACTGGCTGTTCAATAGAAGAGAGGGTGGTAGTAGATGGAAAGTTTTCAGCCTGGAGCTCGGTGACCAGTGGTGTTCCGCAGGTATCTGTTCTGGGACCTCTGCTCTTTGTAATCTTTATAAATGACTTGGATGAGGAAGTGGAAGGGTGGGTTAGTAAGCTTGCCAATGACACGAAGGTTGGTGGAGTTGTAGACAGCATGGAGGGCTGTTGTAGGTTGCAACAGGACATTGATAGGATGCAGAGCTGGGTAAAGAAGTGGCAGATGGAATTCAACCCCAACAAATGTGAAGTGATTCATTTTGGAATGTCGAATTTGAATGCTGAATACAGGGTTAATGGCAGGATTCTCAGCAGTGTGGAGGAACAGAGGGATCTTGGGGTCCATGTCCATAGATCCCTCAAAGTTGCTACCCAAGTTGATAGGGTTGTAAAGAAGGCGAATGGTGTGTTGGCTTTCATTGGTAGGGCAATTGAGTTTAAGAGCTGTGAGGTCATGCTGCAGCTCTATAAAACTCTGGTTAGACCACACTTGGAATATTGTGTTCAGTTCTGGTCACCTCATTCTAGGAAAGATGTGGAAGCTTCAGAGGGTGCAGAGGAGATGTACCAGGATGCTGCCTGGACTGGAGGGCAGGTCTTATGAGGAAAGGTTGAGGGAGCTAGGGCTTTTCTCATTGGAGCAAAGAAGGATGAGAGGTGACTTGATAGAGGTGTACAAGATGATGAGAGACAGAGTGGATAGCCGGAGACTTTTTCCCAGGGCGCAAATGACTATTACGAGGGGGCATAATTTTAAGGTGATTGGAGGAAGGTATAGGGGAGATATCAGAGGTAGGATTTTTTACACAGCGCAGTGGGCGTGCGGAATGCGCTGCTGGCAGTGGTAGTGGAATCAGATACTTTAGAGACTTTTAAGCGACTCTTGGATAGGCACATGGAGGATAGTAAAACGTGGGGTATGCAGGGTAGATTGATCTTAGTCGGATAATAGGTCGGCACAACATCATGGGCCGAAAAGCCTGTACTATGCTGTAATGTTCTATGTTTGATGTTCTATATCTGTCAGCCAGGGTTCCCTGATTGGACCAGACTAACAGCTTCTGTCAGGGAACTCATACTATGATGTCTACCTGAATGACCTCATTAAAACACTACTGACAGTGTACAACAGGATGTCAAGGTAGACAGACAGGAGTCTGGAAGAACACAGCAAGTCGGACAGCATCTGGAGGAAAGGAGAAGTCAACATTTCTAAAGAAGGGTAACACCTGAAACATTGACTTCTTCTTTCCTCCAGATGCTGCTTGGCTTGCTGTGTTCTTCCAGCCACCTGGTTGTTTACCTTGGATTCCAGAATCTGTAGTTTTTTTTTCTCTTACAAAAGATGTCTATGGGTTAAAAGTGTTCAAAGGGATGTCAGAAGGTTAATCGTGTACAAAGGAATGCAGGTAGGTTAAGTGACTATAAAGGGATGTACCACATTGAGTACGATATGTGCACTTTTCAAAATCAATGCAGTGTATTCTTTAAAGTGGATTTGATTTCTGAGATATCTGGTACAAAGTGATCTGGGTGTCCCAATACTCTCATCACAGAACCTATACAGCACAGCAAACAATCCAGAAGGCAAATGGAACAGTGATGTTTTTCGAATGTAAAATAGAATATGAGTGAGTACGTTTTTAACAGTACCGTACAGGGCCTTGATGAGACCACATCAGAATTACTCTGTATATTTTTCTTTCATTTAAAAAATAATGCAATTACATTGACAGCAATGCGGGAAGTTTCGTTTGCCTTCATCCTGGGATGAAGGGCTTATCTTATGAAGAAAAGGCGATCAAATTGGCTTTTACACATTTTAAGTTTGGAAATCTGAGCAGAGATCTTTTTGAAATGTATAAAGTTCTCTGAGGAGACATCATAAGGTGATTGATAGGAGAATGCTTTCTCTTGCAAGGATGACAAGATGTTCTGTAGCTTAAGATATCATCATAAAGTCATACAGCATGGAAACAGACCCTTCAGTCCAACTTGTCCATACCAACCAGGTATCCTAAATGGAAGTTGTCCCATTTTCCTATGTTTGGCCCATATTCCTCTCAACCTTTCCTATTCATGCCATCTTTTAAATCTTGTAATTATACCCACCTCTACCACTACTTTTGGCAGCTCGTCCCATATTTGTATCACCCTCAGGTCCCTTTTAAATCATTCCCCTCTCACCTTAAAACTATGCCCTTTAGTTTTCCTCAAAGGCTATTCACTTTATTGATTTCACCCCATCATTTTATAAACCTCTATAGGTCACCCCTCAGCCTCCAACACTCTAGTGAAAAAAGTCCCAGCCCATCCAGCGTCTCCTTGTAACTCGAGCCATCTAGCCCCGGCAACCATCCTTGCAAATCTTTCCTGCATCCGTTACAATTTAACAACATCCTTCCTATAGCGTGGTGACCACAATTGTACCCAGTACTCCAAAAGTGACCTCACCAATGCCTTGTTATTTTTCTCTAAGAGGGCTGTTATACCCTGGAAATATCTTCTACTGGAAGATGCGAAGGCTGAGTTGATGAATTTATTCAAGTATTCCCTGAGTAAGATAGCTTTTTTTAAAACAAAAAAGGGAGCTTGGGGACAATCACTAGAAAAGTGGAATTGAAGTCACAACTAGCAGAGCCGTGATTTTATTGTCTGGTAGAGCAGACTTCAAGGGACAAATGGCTTACTTTTGCTCTTGTATTGGTGGAGACAGCTTATGCCTCAGTTCAAGTAAAGAGTAGAGGATTTTCTGACCACCCAGCTGAGGAAAGGGCCTTGCTGACCCTTCTGATAACATAAACCTTGAGTTAATCTTGCTCTGCGCCAGTCACAGAATTAGACAATTATTGTGGAAGGCGGCCTTTCAGCCCATTGTGCCTGCAATTATTCTATATCTCGTTCCAAATTCCTGCATTTCCCTGTACGCTCACTAATATCTCAATAACCATCCAATGCATCTCTTGAATGCCTCAATTAAATGTGCCTCCACCACATTTCCATGCAGTGCATTTCACCCAAATTACTTGCTGTGTGAAAAAGACTTTTGTCTCACGCCTCCTTTGCTTCATTGGCATATCACTTTAAATTTATGCCTCTTCGTTTCTTTATTTTCTGAGCAGGAGCAGTTTCTCCCAATCTTCTCTGTCCAAACCCCTTTAGGTTTTGAAAATCACATTCAGATTTCCGTCTCGGTTGCCTTCTCTCCAACGAGAACATCTTCAATCCATCCTCATTGCCGAAGTTTCTCATTCCTGAACCATTCCAGTGAATTGCGTCCGCACTCTCTCTCATGCAATATTTCAAAATCACTTGGAATGGCAACATAGATATTCAGATCAATTTGAGTTTGGATGTTATTAACCTTTACAGACATGATAGGAAATTATGTCCTTTTTATCACATCATCATTTCACAACCGCTTACATACGTCCTTAATAGCTGTGATGGTTTCACTCCATAGATAATTGACTTCATAGATAATATACATGAATGACTTGGAGGAAGGAAGGAAATGTACTGTTGTGGAATTTGCAACAACAAAAAGAAAATGGAAAGGCAGGTTGAGTGAGGGATACAAACAGTTTAAAGAGAGATTTTGATTTGATTTGACTTAGTCA